ACGAGAAAATGTGCCGTCTTTGGTTTGCTGTCATTTTGTCTGTTGATGAGACTGCGGGGAACTCAGAGTTCTATAATCTTGATTCACCAAAAAAAAAATAAAAAATTCCGATAAGCGATATAGAGACACGAACAACCACAGCACACAAAACAACTATGTTCACAAATTGCATCTGAAACGGTCACAACCGCACTGCTCTGTTATAAAAATAAGTAAATAAAACAGTTTTATTCCAAGTCTTGCGCTACCTTGGCCTTTTAAAGTGCTCCACTCACTTCCATTACAAAGCAAGGACAACAGCCATTTACTTCCGTGCTGTACATCATGTTCTCTCAGCGTTTCCTCCGAAACGGAAATTCTCAGCTGGTGGCTTGTAATTGTTGTTCTTGTTTTAATTGTATATGTTATGGTGAGGTAATGAGCTCGTGGATCAAAGGGAGAATCGCGACTCCCACTGAAAGTTTCTGACCGATATCACGATTGCTCCCCTTGACTTATGGGGGATGAGGCAGATGTACAGTCGCTATGACACTAAATTACCGTATTTTCCGAACTATAATGTGCTTCGGAGTTCAAGGCACACCTTCAATGAATGGCGTATTTCAAAACGGTTTTCATATATGGGGTGCACCGCATTATGAGGCGCATGGAATAAAACTACAATATTGGCTGCAGTTGCGCTAGGCATGCACTAGATGGAGCTTTGATCAAGAGAATACAATACAATACAGCTGTATTTACATACATTTTTCACAACCGCTACAGCTGTAACAAAGCTCTTTAGAGAACATTTAAAATAGTACGTCCAAGAAATCAGAATATTGATAAAATAAAAAAGCTTGTTGTTAAATAGTTTAATTGTCGATCTATTTCGATGAATTTCAAGCTAGCTGTCAATCTCACCATCACAGGATTTGTATGCATCAGAAATCTTTGCATGGGGCACCGGACGTCACGTGACTGATCCCCACGTGCATTTGTTTACGCAGTCATGCTGACAGTTTTGTCGCAGCGGCAGGCGAAGGATTCATAACGAAGGGCAGTGATAACATTTGTTTATCGGTCAACATTCCATCCAAGGGAATATCATATCTCACTTTGATGAAAAAGGACATCAGATACAGAGGCAAACTGGAAAGGTTGCACATTACAAATCCCTGTTGTAGGAAATTGGTCGGCAAAGTTTGATTTTATTTTATTTCAATCAAAGTAGATCATTTATCGTACTTTTATCAACTGAACATTTGGTCTGAGGAAAATAAAGATGTAAAAAGAGGAGTATTTAAAAGTACACACTGGTACTGGGTACTCTTAGAAGCACAACAAAAAAAAATTGACCTGACTTCCACCAAACTTTTAAATGATCAATTAGTGAAGTAAGCTGTAGCATAGCAAGTATTCAGAACCATCCATCCATTTTCCATTTCCATCTCATTTTTTTTCCTTGACTTCTCAAAGCCCTTTTAATAGCTTTGTGATCATATTAACTGTGAATTTGCATCAGTTAATACACTAATCCTTTCATTTCTTTTCACACGACTCCAAAAGTTCAAAAGAAATCAATTCCCCCCAAAAAAAAACCCACTGGGGACTACTCAAAGCCCTTTTAATAGCTTTGTGATCATATTAACTGTGAATTTGCATCAGTTAATACACTAATCCTTTCATTTCTTTTCACAAGACTCCAAAAGTTCAAAAAAAATCAATTCCCCCCCAAAAAAAAACCCACTGGCGATAACCCACGAGCCTTCCATCATCGGGGAAAACGAGTTGCTGACAGAAGTTTCAAATTGTATTATCAACTTGAAAAAAGGGGCTCGAAGAAATGTATATAATAAAGCTATAACTGCTCGGCCGGAAAATTAGCTTTTTTTTTTTTTTTTTATTAATTCATCAGCCGCAATTAGGTGCTCAATTTTTCACTTGTACATTCTCAAAGGGCACAATAAAAATGGTCAATTAGAAATGAATTTGGATAAACATCGACCTCCCCCAAGGCGGGAAAATTATGATTCAGGCACCCGATTGGACACTATCATACAAACGACTCGATATAGCATTAGGATGTATCTAAAGAGCATCCTCATGAGAGTCCAAGGTTAGCGAGAGACAATCCCAGCAGACTTTGGTGGGGTGCACCCTGGACTGATCAGAAGCCAATTACAGGGCACTCACATTTACACTTAAAACCCGATTGGACACTATCATACAAACGACTCGATATAACATTAGGATGTATCGAAAGAGAATCCTCATGATAGTCCAAGGTTAGCTATAGAGCCAGTCCCAGCAGACTTTGGTGGAATGAAAGAGTGAAAGACCATTTGGAGCCATGAATGTTTTTTGGAACGTGGCAGGAAATCAAAGTACTCAGTAAACTCCAACCAGGGCCTCTCTGAGATTCAAACTTTGGACCACGAGACTTTGAGTACCATTTTGGAACGTGGGAGGAAATCAAAGTACTCAGTAAACTCCGCACAGGGCCTCTCTGAGATTCAAACTCGGGACCGCGAGACTTTGAGGACCGTTTCTGCGTTATTCAGCATAAAATGGAAACAAAGTGAAAAAATGATGGATTTGTCAAACAAAATAAATGTTCATCTCTGGTTTGTGACCCACATGCCACCAATTTTTTTTCTGGATGTTTTTGGGGACAATTGCGAGCCAAAATGTTTTGATAATAATGACGGAACATATTCAGCATAAAATGGAAACAAAGTGAAAAAATGACGGATTTGTAAAACAAAGTAAAAGTTCGTCTCTGGTTTGTGACCCACATGCCACCAATTTTATTCTGGATGTTTTTGGGGACTTTTTGGGGACAATTGCTAGCCAAAATGTTTTGATAATAACTACGGAATTAACCCTTTCAGGGACAGCAGTCACTACAGTGGACACCCATAACGTTACAGGTTATCATGATTGATGCAAGAAAGGGTTAAAATAGATATGAGAACACTTTAATTGTGGCTTTTTTGTTCTTTTTTTTTTTTTTTAAGTAGAGCGCACCGGTTCAAGATGGAGAAATCGAGCAATATTTGTAATGTCATCAAAGTTCAGCCTTTCTGCCGAGAATGAAAAGTCTGACAAGTCTCAGCTCTCGTTTTGGAAATTGGGTCTCTTTCAAACAAATTGATCATAAAAACGTTTTGACTGTCAAGTAATGTTTGTTCAACTCTACCTTACCATTCGATGCTCTACCTTTGAGATTGGGCACAGGTAAAAGTCCGGGAAAAAAATGTTCGCACCGCTTCGTTTTTAATATTTAACTGTCCGGCGTGAACTTTTTTTGAGCGGTCTTTTATGTTTAGTAAGCCTGCAATTTGTCTGATAAAACAGAACACAGAACAGAACATCGAGCACCCTGAAAATTGGCTCTGAAGTGACAAAGGCAAGCCCAGAGTGACGCATAAATGGCATTGAACAGAGCCCGGTCAAACACACAGCTGTATTTCCACAGTAAATGAAGGTAAACAGTCGAATATTTATCTGGCTCTGGCAGGCCTCATTAGGAACCAACAGACCTCAATGTGACATTTTCCGAAAATCAATAGTGTGGTCAGTCACATTTTTATGGGCTCGTTTCCAGAAAAAAAAACGTTGACGGGCACTGCTGGAAATCACAGAATTTATGAACTATGACATCATGAAAAGAAAGAAAGCTCAGGCAGACGGCAGAAGATTTATAATCCGCCGTAGGTGCTGATTCAAGGTTTACAAGATCACAATTTTGGGGTGGGGGTGCGATCGGCGAGTTTGATGGAGCAATTTATCGATTTAAACAACTTTTATATTGACCTGACAGACAGGTTAAAAAAAAGACGTTACAACCTAGTATTTGGGTCGCCCAATTAAGATAAAATTAAGTCGCCAAGCAGATGAACAACTAACTCGGTCAACAAACATTAAACATGCAAATCGTCGGGTGAGCATAAATAAAGGAAAGCCAAGATAAAAATCATCAGAAATGATTTCGTCCGTCACACTTCCTACGACACCGTCGTCTATGTGGAGCTGGCCCATCAGTGGCCAGTCTCGCTTTGAATCGGCCACGTAATTAACCACGCATATGGTAATATTATAGCCAATATGCTAGTTAGAATGCACCGCAAACAACATGACACAAGTGCAACCACCCACAAGTAATGGAATAGCCGCAATAGTCTCACGGAAGGCTGCAGACAGTTCCACGGATTGTGCTAATTTGAAAATAACTGCATTACTGTCTGATTGAATGAACATTTGAGACGCTCACACATAAATAAAGTAATGCCAAGCGAGTATGAATAACACGTGCCCAGTATGTTGCTCTTTCCTCATAATTTTCCCTTCGTATGTTCTAAAAGGTATTGATTCGTGACAAGCCCAATCGATTGCGCGAATAAGAAGCGACGGCGTATTAGTATTGAAATGAGAAGGGTGTCGATGTTTCGCATTGCTACGCGGCGGAATCTACCATCTGTTAGGGGGACGGAGGGGTGAAGAAGCAGCTCCACAAAGACATAAAGCGATCGATTATTTCTGTGCTTCCCTTTGATCAAACCCCAAGAAACGAAGGAAACTAATTCTATTAGCATTCATTAAAATGGGCAAAATGAGTTTGTATTGCGCTTTATTTTTTGAACTGTTCCAATTAATTTCATATAATGCCAGTGACATGTCCCATAAATATATAAATATTTTAAAAATCGATCGATCGATCTCGAGCGATCGATTGATAGATCGGTAGATAGATACATACATAAATAAATAGATAAATAAAAGGATTCAGAATTCCACTCTATTTCCTGTCTTGTTGAAATCAGCACGTTTGGATGGGCCAGGCTTGTGTCATGTAAGCGAGACCCAACTACCTGCACACAGGCAATTAAACAGTCCCATTTGCATAATATGCATCCTTAAGGAATTTCAAAAAGGGACTTCATGGAGGTTTAACGGTGCTTTACGCTTGTGAGTAGTGAGTCAGTAAGCGGTGAGCTGTGACAACAGCAAACACTCACCTCGATGAGTTTGCGTTCGTAGCTGGCTGCCAACTCCTCCATGTCACCCATGCATTTACTCTGAGGGGCAGGGGCGTGCTCTTCACTCAACGGTAATACTGACAGCGCTGCAAGACACAGAAAAACGGTGTTTGAAAAAAAATCTGCAAGTGACTGGCAACCAGTCCAGGGTGTACACCGTCTTTTGTTTTTTTCTGGTTAGCTGGGGAGACTCCAGCTCACCTGCTAGGAAAACCAATGAAGGAAATGAATGGATTGATGTTCCACCCCGTCCCACAACAATTACAGTGAAAACGTTTCCACCCGTGCTGCTCTCAGTTACTATGTGACACTTGCAGCTGCTTGACTCTTTTGATCAAGATTGAAGAGAATGATGCACACAAGGGGGGGCTGGTCGGTATAATACGCACGCGAGCAGCCTCCCAAGCGCCTCCGATCCCAGTTCCACCGAATTAACGTCACACCGGAGTAAAAGAGTCACACACACAATCGCAGAGGGCTCGACAAGCAAACACACAAAGATGCTTAAGCACACAAATCCTCTTTTTCTTTGTACGTACACGACGCCACAATGTAAGTCAGCAACTCAAACACAGTTTTTTTTTTCCGCTCACCCCTTCCTGTCATTTCTATTAAGATGATAAATGTCCCCCCCGACTCCATTGCCTCTTCTACGCAGACTTTCCTCTCAGACCGAGCTCATTGTTTCTTTGTAACACTGGAGCTCGCTCACAGGCTTAAGTCATCATGGCAGCGCCTAAAGCGTTGTTTCTAAGCTCATAAACATCAACTAACAGGGTTCCCTCTGTGGGGGAAGAAAAAAAAAAAGCACAACTTGGCAGAAGGAGGTCTTCGCAGAAGAGGAGGTGGGTGATGGTTTGATTGGATTTTCGGCACCGCGGAAGACAATTAACTTTGGAATTTCAACGTCCACACACGGCGCCGACACAGACAGACATGCCCGAGCTGGAAGGGAGAGACGGAAAGACGCGCTCTGAGAGCGGAGAAAATGAGGGAACTTAAAATGCCGTGATGGGAATTTAACGTGTCGAAAGGCACAGATAAAGTTTGGCTGATGGTTCATCAGAACATAAAAATCGGAGTGACGATCACTTCCCTGAAAAGTCCGACAGTGACATCCATAATATATGAGCAGACATAATTATATTGTGATCGTACATTCAGTTATATCCCGCTGCGAAGAGTGCCTCATATGTTACCTAATTCGCTTCGCGTGAGGGGCAAAAGACGACAATAGGCGTAATGAACACATTGAGTCGAGTGTCGATTGCGTGGAACGGATTGCTGATTAATTACTGCCTCGAAGCAATTGACACAAAATGGAGCCTCGTTTGCGGTATGACATCACCGATCCAAAGCTGAGCTACATCCACGCAGGCTGGTACTCTGGCGCCACCCCCCCCCCCCCGCCCCCTCTCCAGGCAGCGTTATTTTGTTCCGTGCGAGAGAGGCACAAAAGAAGGAGTTTCGAACATTCTGAGAAATCATTCCGAAAATGTCGCCGAATGAGCGTGGTGCAGAAGACGCGACTGATTGGCTGTCAGAACGTAAGTAACGTGGACAAACAAGAAGGAGACAAGTGGCGTGAATCCGTGTGGGTGTATGTGTGTGGGGGAGGAGTTAGGGTGGTGGGT